AATAAATTCGAATAAAGAGAGTAATTTTCTTTTTCATTTTGTTTAACGATAAGGACGCATGAAACGAGATGGAGTTGAAGATGGGAAAACGTGGAAAACTGCTTCCTTCTGTTTTGTAAATTATTTTCTGAGAGCCGGGCCGGAGTTGCCAGACGAAGACTGGGTAGATTGAGGAAATAAGGATTTAATCGTCGACTGGTTAAATTTTAATTCTATTTTGTAATGGTTAAGAATTACTTGGAGAGCTTTCTGGGAATTCGTGTCTTTGTTGACTAATTCTGGGATGAAGGAAGTTGAACGGTATTACTTTACCGTTAATACTTACTCTTGGAGTTATTTTTTAAATAAGTGGATTATCGTGTAAATTGTCACGAATCTGACAAATTTGGAGCGCATTATTCTTTTGTATATTTTATGATACATAGAAATATACGTGATTAAATATAAAGAACGGTTGAGCGTCAACTGTTTCATCGATTGTGGTCAAACCTGAAAACATCCATTTGACAGAGATTGTGCAGTCTCTAATTACAGAGGGGAAGATAAAATAATTCGAATATTTATCGTCAAATGTTTGTACATCGTTTTTGACACTGAAGCCCTGCCCGCATTCTGTGAAGTGTCCTTTACGCGTCGCGCATGCACCTTTTCCATGCATACATAATTGCGTTGCATTATCAGTAGCAGCTGAATTATTTGCATACTGGTATCATTAATTTGTTATGTCGCAGTACGTGAAATAACAAATATTTTTAATGAATCTTCAATCGCGGGATGTAATGATAACCAAAACGGATGCGTTTAATTCTTGCTCCTTTGCCAGAGTTTGTGACAAGCCTGCTAGCCATAAATCAGTTCAGTTGTTGAAGAGTAAATTGTACCTTGAACACGATACGCTACAACCTTTAACTTTATTATCAATTACTGGGTTTCAGTAACATACTTCATTTACGTAGTCGTAATCAGATACATTAATATTGATGCTCAATAATCTGTTCACGGTGTAGAATGATACACAATGTCACACAAAAACTGGAAGTCATTTTGAACATATAATTCAAAGCCCTCGATACATAAATCATGTTTTCAATGCAATCCCATCTACCAATAATTTTTGAAATTTTACCTTTCCATTCGATTGTCAGATGTAGATTTACGCCGTTCGATTTCTCGCTGCGAAAACATTCTGTGCGCATAAATATTCAAATTTAAATTGCTTTATAAAATTTAACACCGTTCATTACCAATCAGAGTTTTATAAAACACATTAAACTACACATTCTAAGCTTTCCTTCACATCCAAATTCCCACTATACTGTGATACCTTGCATCCTCTACAAAGGTTGAGCGACACAATTGAACAAAATTTCAACTAAAACTCAAACTCGAATACAACTTTCATTCCATCCGCCGTACTCCCAGCTGCCGACATGTCTAAAACAATATTTACTCCCGTTTCGACAAAACAGAATATAAAAATGTCAAAGGAAAATCTCTCATTTTTCCCTTTGGTCGCTGTATGTCATTATGTTTTCCGTATCCGTGGATCGTCAACGTCTCATCCCACCCACGGTACACAAGAGAGTGTCCGTTGGTTGTTATCGTAGGCTTGCATGGAAGCCTAACGGGTAGCTTTAACCCTTTATTTTCCAACCGTTTAATTGCACAGCACACATGCGCCGTCCGCCGATGAACCGCGGCGATAGAAAGGAGACAAAGTTCAAGTCCGTGGCGAGGCAGCCAGTTTCGCAGAAGGAAGTTGGCCGGCGTCCTCGGGGAATGGCCGGCACGTGACCTCTGGCCCGAATAACGAATCGGCTTCGCTTGGGACAGCCGATCACGGACCCGCCGACTATGTTGCGCCGCAATAGTCCGTGTCCCGCTGCTAGGCGTGCAGAAATAATAATAATAATTATCGTGCTACCGCCGTGGACTGATGGTAGTGATGTTAATTGTACGGCTGCCTCGGCCCGAACCGGCAAAAACGCGTGACACGTGATTTTTAACTACTCCGCCATCGGCCACCCCTTCGACGATCCGCCTCGCGAGCGATCCGTGTACACCGGAGATTCAATGCTGGAGGAAAAAGTATCGATCACGGCACTTGAACGCTTTACCTACCGGAAGCCTATTAATAAACTCCTCGACGACCGTGGTGCATCGAAAAAGCGGTTGATAATATCCTTAAAACAATAGTCTTTGAAGATGTTTGCTGATCGAGACTATTCTATAGTCCAGGGTTGCAGTTATAACACGAACATAGTAATTTCGATGGGGATTATAGAGAAATCCCTCCAGTCAATAATGATTGATATTGCGGTTATTAATTGATTAATCGAAAGTTTAGTGATTGTTGTAATCTCAACGAGGACATAGCAATTAGAATATGAATTATTGAGAAGTCTACAGTATCATTAATGTTTAGGACATTGTTAATTCATTGGCTTCATTTAGTTAAAAAATAATAACTAGTCGAACGTAAAATAAAAGGAACTTATTGAGTTACAGTCGTTTCGGTTCTTCAGAGACTTTTTAAGTTTCACATGTCACTGTAACCTATTTACCACAAGTATTTCCAAACTCCATAAAGATAATTGACATCAATCTTATAGACGGCCGCTGATCATTAAGAGCGTGTCTGCATTCAAGAATGCTGGGCAACTTTCGAAGTAACGATTTGTATAATGTAACGGTGTACGAGGAATGTACGCACTCGCGGTACATCCCTTTTTTTTCGCGCGTAGAAAATGGCTGTTCTTTCACGCCCATCTCGCGGCTCTTTCTCTTTCACACGAGAGGTTTGAAATACGTTATCTCCCACTCGTTACGTCCTTACGCTTTGTACACGTTCTCCCTCGAGTGTCCGCTCGATTTTCTATACGCGTGCTTTCCTTTTTACCCGTCCAGTCGCCTCCCGTTCTATTTTAAACGCGACCGGCTAATATTACTTCAAAAGCGGCGGGTTCCGCAGAATCTATCCCGCGCCCGGAAAAGAAAGCCCGATTAAGCGATAAACGCTGAGAAGCGTTTATTAACTTCGCCTCGGAGGTAATACTCGAGTTTTGTGTCAGCTTCCAACGGCGAAAAATAAATTGAGGAAAGAGGAGAAAATGGAAATTGATAATATGGATAAAGCGGAACTTTAGCCGAGTTCCCGTCGAAAACAAAAAGAAATCCTCGTTAAATTCAACTCGAGCAACAAAATAGCTTAGTTAATATCCAGCGTTATCAACGCTTAGCGCTAGAAGCACCATTCATAACTCCTTGTTTATAATTATTAAAACCGTAAAAGTCTTCCCGGTGCGAGATTAACAAGCGACTTTATTTATTCCCGTAAAATCTCGATTAACTCTTGTCAATTTTACGAGGTTTTGCAGACTAGTCGTTTTTAGAGCTCCACTGCCCTAGGATCGATCTCCATCGAGAAGCATTCACCTTAATAATAAATAACGACAAAATCGAATTAAAATTTCCTCGATTTCCTCCGGGATTCCCGGACTATACGGCCGAACATGGTTGACCGGTTTCGAATTGATATCATTGCTGGCGCTTTTCAAATGATATTCAAAAGATCCGACGTTGCGCCGCGCAGCGGACCACGTTTCATTACCTCTTTAAAGCGGCGACGATAAACGAAACGCCCGGTGGTTTTTCAGGCCCATGAACGCGCCGCGTAACCACCGAAAGCCTCCTCGGAGAGGCCAGTTTATCATCGCGCGCGGTTGATTACTGTTATTCGCAGCGCGGATCCCGCGGAAGGCTCCGGCCTTTTTATTAGACAAGCGAACGTAATTCCAGCTGTGAAGCCGACGGAGGGAGAGCGAGATGTTCCGTCATCGCGGCGCGGCGGCTGAACGAAGTCTCGTCGGGGCTTCGAGATTTAATTTGCCAGGACTTTAACCGCGAACGAGGCTTGTTCCGCGGCGAGGACCGAGGAAATACACGACGAACGCCGACAAGTCGAAATGATGCGCGTATATTTTCTCTTCCCGCAACACCTCTCAGACTTTGGCTACCTCTGCTCGTCCGCGCGTCGGGGTTAATCGGCCCGGCCGGCGCGCGTCAACTTCCGACACTCGCGGGAGAACTGTGAAACGGGTCCCGCCCGGAAAAGTGGCGCGCGTTACGAACGGTGATCATCAGATAATATGTAATAAATATTGAAGCGCACGAGGCGTGGAGTTCGTCTTTCCGCGGCGGACCGGGTCCAGCCGGTTATGTACCTGACGTGAATATTTAATTTTTCACTGCGCGCCGCGCCGCCGGTCAAGCGCCATCGTTTCGATGAATAAACCATACGCCGACCCCCCTGCTGAAGAAACTGATGCGCCTGGTGCCTCGTTAGCGGCGATTCATTCCGTCGATCTCGCTCAATGGAAGTCGGGACTTGTTTTTGGGGACTGTGGGGAAATGGAGTTCGTAATTTGACGGAGACTAACGCGGAATGTAATTTGTGTGTTTGGAACGTCGAATGAGGTAGTTCGAACTTGGAAATATCTGGAAACTGAGTTGGACATCGTAGTAAAACGATTTCTGGGCACAGTTCGTGTTCTGTTTGTAGATCGTCGTGTTATTTAGTCTTTCTCGTTAAAGGAAATCATCCGACGACAGACAACGGTGAACGGAATTAAAATTCTAAAGGCTAAGAGGATGAAAAATTAATATTTAATTTTCTTTAAGCGAATAGGAATCTTGTCTCGGGATACATTCTGTGTCACGCTGTTTATTCCTTTGTGTTCGGTTTGCGATTCTAACGACGGGACATGCAAGAACATGCTTCGCAAAGGTTCGCCAGCACTTGACGATCCGCTTACAGCAAACGCCAGCAAGGGGCTTCAGGAAGTTCGTTTCAGGAAATCCCCTGTCATTCTCGATGATTAAACAAAAACCGTAGCCGTAATCTCGTCCCCTAGCTCTAAGAACCCCCTGTGTCTAAGCAATCTTCAGAATTATATAACAGACCGAAAGATACTCAAGAACGCATCATACTTATGTTACAGATCGTAGTGGAAAGCTCCACTCTAGGACTAGAGTATGGGGATTTGGAGATCGATCCAGGCGCTCCGGTGAACCCGGATCTGCTCTTCGATTCCCAGCTCATGCACCTATACGTGATGACCAATAAGACAGTGTTCAAGGTCAAGGTGCAGGAATGTTCGGTGTACAAGACCTGTCTGGAGTGTCTAGGCGCGAAGGACCCGTACTGCGGATGGTGTTCACTGGAGAACAAATGCAACCTGCGCAGGGACTGTCAGGATGCTGCCAAGGATCCGCTCTATTGGATCTCTTATAAAAGCGCCAAATGTACAGCCATCACGACCGTCACTCCGGACCAGTTGCAACGCACGACCGCCAGAACACTCGAGCTAGTCATCGAAAACCTGCCATCGCTTACCGGCCAGTTCCTCTGCGCGTTCTCGACCCTGGACAAGACCTTGATCACGAACGCGTCGAGGAAATCGTTCGGCGTGAACTGTACAACGCCAAGGACCGATCTCCTACCGCCAATACCCACCGGACAGCATCATTTCACCGCGAAACTGTCCGTGAGAATGACCAACGGACCCGACCTCGTCGCGACCAATTTCACCTTCTTCGACTGCAACACCTACAGCTCTTGCACACAGTGCGTTTCGTCCAGTTTCCCCTGCGACTGGTGCGTCGACGGGCACAGATGCACGCACGACACGGCCGAGAACTGTCGGAACGATATTTTGGTCACTGGAATCAATGTAAGTGTTACCGATTCCTCCTTTTATTCGATTTAGCGTAGATTCAGACTCTGAGAATCTAACGAACTACGAAGTGTGCAAATATTGTTTTCTTAGAAATTGGTGTCGATTTTCGGTCAATGCGATCATATGAATATCAACGTTCAATTATTAATTTTCAATTATAAGAGAGAGAAAACTGAAAATGATATAAAAGTCGCCAGAATCTACGACTAAATCTGATCCCTTTATTCTGTAATTTTGTTCGAAAGATGTAACAATTACCAGCATTAGCGGCGGTAAGTGTAATTTTAAAAAGTTAGTAACATAAAATGTAATATTCCAGAGGATGGGCCCGAGTTACAGAAGCGGTCCAGCATTCTGTCCCACGTTGAACGCCTCCGATACCCAAGAGATCCTGGTGTCTTCCGGCGTCAAGCAGATCATCCGCGTCAAAGTGCACATCATCGGGGTAAGAACGTTCGGCCATATCAATCTCCGAACGCAGTTAGAATACCGTTTAATACCATCGCATTAATTCCTCGCAGTATCCGCGCGGTATCGTTAGCAGCCCTTTCACGGGGCATCATTGTCGCGGTTAGTTGCCGGCCCCGTATGATTGACGCTGACCCAGGCAAAACGCGCGTTGTTTTTTTTCTTTTTCAGCAATTCATCGTGCAGACCCGCTTCGTTTGTCAGTTCAACATAGAGGGCCGTGTAACGAGCGTAAACGCTCGCTTGTTGGGGGACACGATCTATTGCGAGGAAACCGACTTTTCATACACGTCCCGCGCGCCGAACATCACCGTGCCGTTCGCGGTGATCTGGGGCGGTTCGAAGCCTCTGGACAATCCATACAACATCCACTTGGTGATCTACCGCTGCCGCGACATGGCGGACAATTGCGGCATGTGCCTGGCACTAGCGCCGAAGTATGATTGCGGATGGTGCCAGAGCTCGGACAAGTGCGAGGTCAAGAACCAATGCGACTGGGGCACCCGTATATGGCTGAACAGGAACCAGACCTGTCCGAATCCAGAGATTCACTCGTTCGAGCCGGCGATGGGGCCTTGGGAAGGGAACACGAACATCACGATACGCGGCATCAACCTCGGGAAAACGTTCAGCGTAAGAGCATCTCTTGAATAACATTTCGAGTCTCGTTTCTTGGTTTGTCTTTTCGATCCGTAACTTGGTAAATAATTGTAAAATATCTTGAAAACTAAAAAAAAGCACGTAACAATTTCGAATTTCAAAAGATGTGATTGTACATGAAATTTTATGACACCATAATCCTTTAATTTCAGGACATCTACCGCGGAGTGAGGGTCGGCGGGATGCGTTGCCAGCCGTACGAAGAGCTATACATACGCACAAAGCAGATCGTCTGCCGCGTGGATGGTCCAGGAACAGAGGAAGACAAAATCGGACCTGTGATCGTGGAGATCGAGGACTTCCGCGGTGAATCGAAGAAAAACTTCGAATTCGTGGACCCTCGGATCACTTCCATATCACCAAAACACGGTCCAGTTAGCGGCGGTACCATCGTTACGATCACCGGGAGATACATGAATGCTGGCAGCAGAATCGAGGCTTTCATTGGCGATCTGCCGTGCTCGATAATCAGCACGGAGACCAGTGAAGCAATGTGTATGACCAGCGCAAGCGGTAACAATACGAGCGGGACGGTGCGAATGACGTTCGACGGCGCGTCCAGGATCTATGACGGGTCAACTTTCGAATACGTGGAGGACCCAACGATCGACAGCGTAGGCAGCGGCGTCGCAGGCCAGGTGAAAATCCCCAAAGGCATACCGGCCGGCGGAAATAAGATCTCGGTAACCGGCAAGAACATCGCGTACATACAAAGGCCCCAGATGTACGTTTACTACGACGAGAAGATGTTCGTCTCCCAGTGCGAGGTGCACAGCCAGGAGACAATGATCTGCAAGTCACCGACGATCGAACTGCCCGACAACGTCGTGGTGGACGCGGAGAAGCCTCTGTCCCTGGAGTACGGGTTCCGCATGGATAACGTGACGGGTGTCCAAAACCTCTCCCAGCACGGTTTCAGCCATTTCCTGCTCTACCCGAACCCGATCTACGAGGAGTTTGACGAGGAGATCAAGTACTACAAGAGCGACTACCTGACCATCAACGGACAGCACCTCGACCGCGCCTGCCAGGAGTCCGACGTGACCGTGCAGATCGGGAACGGGTTCTGCAACGTCACCTCGCTCTCAAGGCAGCAGCTCACCTGCCGGCCGCCTCTAACACAGCCGCCCGCAATGGACTTTGAGGGTTTGCCGAACAAGCAAGAGCTACCCGAGGTCATAGTGATCGTAGGTGGGACGCTCCGGTACAACATCGGAAAGCTGAGTTACGCACTGCCCAACAGCCTGAACGGGCCGCTGTCGAAACCGGCTCTTATCGGTGTGATCGCGGCCATCGTGATTTTGGTGATCGTATTCATCGCGTTCCTGATCGCCTACCGAAGGAAGTCCACCGAGAGCAACCGAGTTCTGAAGAACATGCAAGAGCAAATGGACATCTTGGAGCTGCGCGTCGCTGCCGAGTGCAAAGAAGCCTTCGCCGAACTGCAGACCGAAATGACCGATCTTACCGGCGATCTGACCAGCGGCGGCATACCGTTCCTCGATTATCGAACTTACGCGATGATGATATTATTCCCGAGCGACGACAACAGCCCTGTGTTGCAATGGGACCGGCCGGAACTCGCGCGCAAGGAGAAAGGCCTGCGATTATTCGGCCAGTTGATCATGAACAAGACCTTCCTGCTACTGTTCGTGCGGACTCTTGAAAGCAATCGATACTTCTCCATGAGGGACAGAGTGAACGTGGCCAGCCTCATCATGGTTACACTTCAGAGCAAGATGGAATATTGCACAGACATACTGAAGACGCTCCTCGCGGAGCTGATCGAGAAATGTACGGAGGGGAAGAGTCATCCTAAGCTATTCCTTAGACGGTATGTTTTATGAGGTTAATTGTGGTTTCTGGGTGTAATTATTTGTGGTACTCTACGTGACAAGATTTTACGACGAACCATTTTAATTTTCGTAACTTTTATATTGTCCTTTTACTCTAGAACTTTTAACTTTCTGTTGGTGGAATAGATTGTATTGTTGTTTTTCAAATTTTCGGCTTTCTTTGCTCGCTGCGTTTACTTTTTTATAGAGTTAATTGTCTGCTGCATTGAATGAACTTGCATAAATGAAATTGCAAGATTTACGTGGATATCAGAGTTCGAATAAATTGTGTTTCACGTTTTAGGACGGAAAGCGTCGCTGAGAAAATGTTGTCAGCATGGTTCACTTTCCTTTTATACAAATTTATGCGAGAATGCGCTGGAGAACCATTATACGTGCTGTTTCGCGCGGTGAAACAGCAAGTTGATAAAGGTCCCGTAGACGCCATCACATCTGAAGCTAGATACTCCTTATCGGAAGAAAAATTGATCAGACAGTCTATCAACTTTAAACCAATGGTAAGATTTTATATCGTAATATACAAGATGCTTTTCTTTAGATCCTTTAACTAATGAACTTCAACGTTTTCCATTCAGACGGTCTACGTATCCATATCTCAACAAACAGTCTTCGTCGGTGGCATGGATCCGAACACAGAAAACGTTCCAGTGAAGGTTCTGGACTGCGATACGATATCTCAAGTGAAAGAGAAGGCATTGGACACAATCTACAGAGCCACACCATACAGCCAAAGGCCTAGGAAAGACGACCTAGATCTTGGTGAGACACTTAAATTGTTATAAACGAATCGCTTTCCAACATAATATAATATCCAATTTTCTAAATTCCGAAACGAAAGAAATTCAATTGCTAACAAATGCTTTTTCTGTGATAGAATGGCGAACTGGAGCATCCGGAAGATTAATCCTGTACGATGAAGACTCGACAACCAAGACGGAAGGTGAATGGAAGAAACGAAACACTTTGAATCACTACAGGGTACCAGACGGAGCGTCGCTGAACCTGGTTTCCAAGCAGTCGTCAATCTACAACCTGTCGATCCTCTCAGAGAAGACCGACAAATCGCACAAATACGAAACCCTGAACCTCAGTAAATTCAGCTCAGCCAGCCCTCCTCTGTCCCGCGCCACGTCGCCATTGAATCAAAACCACGACGGTGGACTAAAGTGCTGGCATCTCGTCAAACATCACGATTCCGACGCGCGAAAAGAAGGTGACCGCGGTAACAAAATGGTCTCGGAGATCTACCTGACGAGGTTACTAGCAACGAAGGGTACGCTCCAGAAGTTCGTCGACGATTTGTTCGAGACGATCTTCAGCACCGCGCATCGAGGCTCGGCACTACCACTAGCAATCAAGTATATGTTCGACTTCATGGACGATCAAGCACTGCAACATGGCATATCCGACCCCGAAGTGGTCCACACATGGAAGAGCAACTCCCTTCCGCTTAGGTTTTGGGTTAACCTCATTAAGAATCCGAATTTCATTTTCGACATACACAAATCGAACATTGTAGACTCGTGTCTGTCGGTTGTGGCACAGACGTTCATGGACAGCTGTTCCACTTCAGATCATAGATTAGGTGAGTATTACAGTTTCATGTCGTCTTTGTTTGTTTCAATGAACGGAGTCATTAAGGGTCATTATTTTTTGATTGCAGGTAAGGACTCGCCAAGTTCTAAGCTACTTTATGCAAAGGACATTCCAGTGTACAAAGAATGGGTAGAACGTTACTATTCAGATATCAAAGTCATGCCAGCCATATCCGATCAAGACATGAACGCCATGCTTGCCGAAGAGTCTAGGGTAAGTGACTTTTTCCTCGAAAGCAACATTAGTTACCTTCTAGATTTTTAATTCGCATATTTAATTTTTTTTAAAGTAACAGAGATAATTAAATGTATTTTTTTACTGAGAAATCAAATGTACATGTACTTGAACGTAGCAAAATTTGATTTGATGTAATTATCGAAACAATTTACCTCCCGTCAAAGCTTATACTCTTATCTCTAAATAATTTATTTTGTCCATACAGTTGCACACAACAGAGTTCAACACGAATTGTGCTCTCTGCGAACTGTACACGTACGCAGACAAATACAACGAACAGCTGATAGTGACACTGGAGGAGGACGAGTTTTCACAGAAGCAGAGACTGGCATACAAACTCGAGCAGGTGTATAATATAATGGCGGCGGACAATCCCTGATGTACCATGAACTCTATGAAGCACATGTCAAAGCCTGCCCGCCAAGAGTTACCCTGCTGAATACTCGACCGCAGTTAGGTATTCTCGAGGAAGCACCAAGAGGACTGGCCTATCTTATAATCGATCGTCTCAGGTTTCCCGTGCAAGCCAGTTGTCTCAGCTTAGTACGCGAATTAAATACACACAGCATACAGACACACAGACACATGAACACGCGGACATGAACGAAGAAACTGCACAACGGACCGCTAAAGAAGTTTCGCGATGGAAGACTGTAAGTTCAACGAGAGGACTAAGTGTTGTTTTCGGAAGTACCGTGTGAAAATACCAAGAGGAAGTCTTCTGAATGGTCGCTGGCGGGCGAGTGTGTGCAACGATAATCAAGAGCGCGCGCCACGCATAATTGTACATAAGATACCAAAATCACGATTAATTGTAATAGAATTATTTGATGTGCGGCGGCCACACCGGCCGGCGGCCATGACACGCAAATACTCACACACGCACACGCACACACACAAAACACAAGAACACACGAACACATAAACGAAGAACAAACAAAAATGCAACCGCAAACGAAGATTTCACCAAT